CCCTTTGAAGGTTTTTTTTTTTTTTCCTGTTCTGAGTAGCCCACCTCAGTCTCATTCTGTTTTGTCTGTATTCAGTTTTACATGTTAAACAGACATGGAACAATACCTAGCATTTAAGAAGTTTTTAAAAATGAAAATAAATAGAAATGTAGACACTTGGTGAGGGGTCACAAACCACATCCACTAAAATCACTAGCAAATTCCCCATGGATTTCAACAAGGACAGGATTTCATCCTCAAATTGGATGAAATGGAGTGATGTACAGCACTGCTATTATGTATCACACAAGGAAAAACGGTTTTTACATAAAAATCAGATATAAATATATTCTTTGTGATATTACTCAGCAAGGAAAGGGATTGCTCATTTCAAGAATAAGCATGAGGACTAAGCAGGACTCTGTGAGCCATTGCATTCCTGTTGACTGGGATCACAAAGGAACAGTAGAAGATGATACATTGCTCTAAATTGTCATGGTCTTCATCTGTGTCCTTCTAATTGGTTGGAGTCTGCCTTTAGAGACAGAGCTGCTTTGGGAAACTGATTACACTGGCCATTTTAATCCATAAACTCCCTGGATTCCTCTTTCTTAGTCTGCCATAAAAGTTGGTTGTACCGGTAAGAGATTCTCAGGTGTCTCTGTGAAATGTTAGCACACCACATGAGTAAAGGCTTCTGATGTAGCCCTGTAGTCACAGGTCCATACCTCCACCAAGGAGCTACCAAAAGCAGCTGAGAGGTAGTAGTTCCTTGAGCAAGCTGTGTGGACAGCAACATTGCGATGAACCTTGAATTGAATCTTGTACACCTTGCAATCAGCAGATGAGGCTACTTGCCTCTAAGTTTTTGAGTATCTTGGGTCATTTGTAGGAGGAGTTTATATCAGGCAATGCTTAGAGATTTTCTGAATTTATGTTAGCTAAAATTTCCATTTTGTTCTAAGGCAGGTGAGATCAGATTTCTGGTCACCAAGACCAGATGTCAAGATGGAGGATGTCAGGTCTATAAAACTGAGCCCACAAAATAAAATTCCCTAAATCACTACCAAGATAGATCTCAAAGAAAGTAGACTTATTGACACATGCTTAGGATATGACTCCTGTAATATAAAGATGCAATTTGTATTCCTTAGGAAAGACTTCTGTCATTACTGAGTTCCCTGTTCAGGACCTTTTTGCCATGTAAGCGCAGAGCAGATGCTTAGTTTTAGGCCACATTATTCTCCAGAAATTATTATATATACCTTCTGCCACATGTTGTTTTTGTTTCAAGTAGACGTAAGGGACATATATCTAAGTTGCACCTAGTGAGTAAAACTTAACATAGCATGCCAGTGATTTGGGGAAATTGTGTTATTTGTGCAAGTGCTATCATTCCTTTGATTCTGTGCTGCTTTCCTATTTTCAAGCTACTCTGACAGCTGATGCTTACTCCCTTTACTGTACCCCTTAGTAGTAACATGTCAGTTTATGCAACTAGGAACATGAATGAGAAAGTAGTAAATACCACCTAGTTTCTATATTTGCAAGATGCCAGGATTCTGTGCCTCTTCTGTCTCCACAGCTGTTCCAACACCCTGCGAGACATACAGTTATATTTAAGTTCTGACTTTTTTTCATTACAGGGGTAGTTTGTTGGCCACTTCTCATTACTGTACATTTTTACTGTTATTTTTCATTATAAGGCTTGTGACTTTAGAGAGAGGAATAGTCTGCTGACTGCTCATTGTTCCTATGAGTACAAGATTGGTCTCCATTTGCATTTATATTTTCTGGTGTTTTCTTCTAGCTTAGTTTTAGATGTCGTAAAGAACAAGACTCTCCCTTGAGGCAGTTGCAAAGTCTAGTAGATCATGCTGCCGGGAAGTTTCTCCTGCTATTAATTTTAAATTTCCTGCTTCTCAATTTCATTCCATTACCCCAGGTTTATATTTCCCGTACTTTACAAGTAATTCCTTCCTCTTCTGTGTGCTTATACTCTGCACATACTTGCAGTAATTGTCTCAGCCCAGTTATTATTTCATTACCTTAGTCATGCTTACCTCTTTTAACCTTTCATTGAATCAGTTGAATCAAGTCTTTTATCAGTTCACTTCTTTCCTCCAAGCTATCGCAAACTTGAAAAGATCCTTCTGGTAACAAGATTGCCAGTATTTTTCACTTTGTATGGCTGTATTTTAAACTACCTATGATTCACAGAACACACAATCAATCTAAGACCAAAGTTATGAGCCTCTGTTGAAAAAACTAGATACTACTTGCTAATTTTTACTGCAAACTATTTACCATTGGAGTATTGACAGTAATGCAGAATGTCTAAGGCATGTTTAAGCATTGAGTAAACATTTACCAGTGAACATTGCCAAAGTCTGATGTGCCTGTATGCAGAAAGTAGCATATTACCTTGATGAACTATATTATACGGTCATATGCAGACTTGCCTCTTGTATCTATGAAAGAAGCGTCTTTGTTTATTGTGCTCTTGACTTGCAAACTTCCCATTATTAAACACTTCTGTATTTTTAGTAGGCAGCTTTTGGCCAGATGTTATGACATACACATTATAGTGCATCATATCTCAATCCTCTCCCCTACTCCCAAAGATGTGAATTATTAGTTAGCCTTCCAGTATGCGTAATCTCTGTGGAAAACTGTGGTCAAGTTTTGGTTACTCTCCAAGCCAGAGTGGTATGGCATGTGAAAACAGAGGTTTTGCATCATTCATTTGCTCTTAATACCTCATACATTAGGGCCTGTGCCTGGTCAGTTTAATCCTGCTGTCGTGGGATTTACTGTGGTTCACAGCCACTACATGAACAGCAAATATATTTTGAAACATTCTGATGCATGATGCATCCAGAAAGAAAGGAAGCTTACTGAAAAGCACTGCTGCTTAAGCATATACTACCTATCTGAGAAGGAATCTGCCTGCTGAAAGAAAAAATACGTAAAATATGTAGAAATTAATAATTTTGTCAGAATGGCACATTCCAACACATAAGTACTATGGTGATGGGCATTCTGGAAAACCCTAAGATAGGCGGTTAGGTTCCTTAAGCACAATTTGTATGTTTCACAAGGCATTCTTTTGGTTTTGTTTTGTAGCCTAACAGCAGTGGTCAAGTAGTAGGGAAAATTTTACACCGGTTTTGGCACCCTCTCCCCATCACAGTGCGGTGCGACCTGTGACCCTGACCATGACAGATACTAAACCCATCACTACATCCACTGAAGGTGAGGCATCTTCACCTACAGCAACCAGTAAGTATTTCTTTAGGAAACAAAGAATGTCCATCAAAGATTTGATATAAATTCAAACTGAGGCCAGACAAAGGCGTCTTTTCCTACTATTTGACCAAGTGAATGCTCATCATTTTACATGGAGAGCAAACATGATCCGACTGCAAAGTTTTCCTCCCCAAATTTCAACCGCTTCATTGTGTTACATGAATCAAAGTTTGTGGCATGGCAACCAAAACAAAATGGAAAAGCCTGCATATTTGACAACTATTCAAGAAAAGGAAAACATGGTTGTTCATCTAAGGTGGACATTGTTAAGACATTGAGAAGCACACCCAGACAGCAAGGTTGTACAATGACCCACAGATGGAATTCCAAACAGAGATTGGATAATTTGCTCCTCAATGAGCTTTCCTACAGAAATCAACCCTTTTTACAACACATATTGAATCCGAGCTATGACAATTGCATGTTAATATAGGTTGTGTCGTATTTAGCAAAAAACAACTGATGTGGCAAAATTTTTAATTCCTTGCTATTGATGCAATGGATGGCACTATTCTTTAAAAAAACACCACAAAAAATCCTAAAAACAACCAACGAAACAAAGTGCAAACCCTGACTTTAATTTTTTAAACTTTATATTACTGCGTATGACCATATTATTTATCCTATTATCTTCAATGGAATTGTGGTTTTGGAAATAAGAGCAAAGCTCTTACTATGTCAAGGTTAATTCCTTGTCTTCCAAACAGTCATGCTTAGTAATGCAAAATGCTGCTTTTTAACTACTTTCTGCATTTCTGTTATCCTTTAACTTTTATTTGGACTTGAGATGACCAGTGTAACACCAGTATTTATCAGAATGATGAAGGTTTTTAGAAGACATTTCCACACATAGATTTTGGAAGAAAACTTACTGCTCTTTAAAAATATTAATCTCTTTAGAGTCCATTACATTAAAATATTTGCTTTTGACCTGATTAGTATTTGAATTGTGAATCCAGTCCCTACCTTTTGGTCTCTCATTAATGGAGACCATAAACTCTATATTTATCAGGTGTTATATGATTTTACATCTTTTCATGAGTATGTAAAGCAGAGATGAGGCTCAAAAGCATAGGATTGGCCAAGATGTAAAGGAGAAAAACTGGTTATGCCTTTTTTATAGAATAACAGTAGTAACTTTTGAGTAAATTAAAGTATAAACAGATAAGTATATTGATAGACTTATGGAAGTATTTTATTTGTTCTCTTTATATAGCAGAGGTTTTGTTAAAAGGTGGTAGAGTATATGTGTATCCTTCCTGATTGGTTTGTGGTACAGTTCTTACACCTTTTAAGAAGAGTTAGTTTTAGCAGTGAACAAGAAGCTGTTGCTCTAAACTTTTGATCCAGAATAAAAAAATGAGAAAACTGAGTTAGTTTATAGTTTCAAGTATTCCTGATTTCATTCTGCTTCCTGTTTGACATGATTGTGCTTGGCCTAAATCGCTGTCTCAGATAAGGTCATATTTTCTAATACAGATAGCAAAAAGAACAAATACAGTGTTAGAACTGCATTGAGATGTTTGGTAATCTCACCATATTATTCATAACATACAGGAAAGCATACATAATTGTTCATTGTCCTACTGTTAAGGGAAAAATGTGGACTATATTTTCAAATGAAATAGGCACCCCGTTTCTCATACAATTCATTGGAACTTGGGTACCTGATTCATACAGTCATAGAATGGTTTGGGCTGGAAGGGACCTTGAAGGTAATCTAGTTGCAACTAGATTCCCCATGAGCCTTAGGACATCTCAGCTTAGATATCTGAGATAAGGCCTCCTTGTGCTTTCACAGCAATATGCAAGTAACTTCTTGCCTAAAGATCCAATGCCTGTCACTTCAACATACAAATAATAATAGAAAAATCCTATGTAAAAATTTTATTTCTGTGTGCCAGTTCTGCATATGAGATAGTGTATAAATTCTACAAGTTCGGTTTTAGTTTTCAGAACAGTGCAGTAGTCCATCTGCATGTTAAAGTCTTCTGAAATTGTGTTAGTAACTCTAAGAACATAAAAGGGAAGAAATGTAGCTTGTTGATGAAGAAAAGAGTAAAACATGAGGGATCGTGTCCTGCTGATACAGAATTATAGAATCATAGAATCATAGAATCACAGAATCATAGAATCATAGAATCATGGAATCATAGAATCATAGAATAATAGAATGGCCTAGGCTGGAAGGGAACTTAGAGATCATTTAATCCAATATATAAACATATAAACTGTATTATCAGACATAGTAGACCTGCCACACAGACTGCTAGTGTTAATGAGAAAAGCAAGTCTAAATATATTCTAAGACATAGTTTTGCTTTCATTCGCAACAACTGATTGGTTTGAGATATCTATATATAGATATATATAAAATGTATGCTTGGCCAACAAGTTATCATCATTCAGTCTGATGAGAATAAAATGGTAAATGATTAGCACTGCTTTTCATTCTGAAGTGAGAGTTATTTTGAATGAGAAAGAACAGCAGTCTTTGATAATATTAGGGGAACCTTGTGTCCTCCACCATAATTCCCTTCTAATAACTGATTAATTTTTATGATAGATTTTCAGTAAGGCCTGTTTTTTTGTGTTTTTTTAAATGGATTTCCTTGTTTTGTATATGCTGAGTAACTTTAATACTAACAAGCCAATTCAATGAGTACTCCCATCTACCTCCTCACTGGCATCCTTGTGTATGTCTGTTCAGTTTTAGTTATTTTGCTTTGTTTGCCAGAAAGTTTCCAGGTTATGATGCTGCAAGTTGCAATGTGGACATCTCTACACTGAGAAGTGCCACCGAAAACCATGAGAAGGAAATGGCTTTTAGGGATTACTGTCAGGGACAAGACAGGAATGTGACCTACAGGTGAAGGATATGTATCCTGTAAATAACCTCAGCATCACCTACCATTCCATCTTTCCTCAGAAGTGGATTTCTTGAATCTTCTGGAAGCAGACAGCGAGAGATTTCCATAAATTGTCCCCCTACAAAAATGTTTACTAGTGCATATGAGAATTGAATATTTAATATTATACTGCACAGTAAAAACTAACTCCCTTCTCATGAAAAGACTAATCAGATTACATCCTGTTTCCAAAGGCCTGTAAAGATTTCATGCCACATACGTAAACTGAACTTTTAATTCCAATTTTTGCTGTTCTTTGACCATTTTGTGATGGGCTTTCACAGCAGTAAAAATCAGTCTGCACTAATATTTTCTCTAAACATTGGAATCTCAGTGATTTAACTGGTGCCTTAGATTGGTATAATGGAAACAAGAATCAGGCTCATGGTTTATTTAAATACATACCTTATTTAATCTCTTTAACAAAACCAAAATACAACAATCAAAGGAACTTTTATTTAACAAGAGACATGACTGTGATTTACACATGCAACTTCCATTGAAGTTTATAGGAATTTCCACATGCTTTTTCAAATTTGGTCCAATTTTTCTGTTACATTCTACTGAAGTTTGAATAGAGGAAAAACATGGACGCATCCTATATATTGCAAAATCATAACTCTGGATCTCTCATATTGATACTGTACCTGTGCAGGGTAATAGTTATGATAGGTTGGTATTTTTATCAATCTGTTTTGTTCTTCCTTAATCAGCCTACACAGCCTCAGGCACATCCCAAGCCAATCGATATGTGGGACTAAGCCCAAGAGACCCATCCTTCCTACACCAGCAACAGGTGGGCAAGTTTCACATAGGTGTAATGATATAGAGAAGCTTTTGCAATACTACCTTCATAAGTTCTGCCACTGTATCTTGGATTAGACTGGGATCTTAAGGCTTTCAGTATTTCTCATCTGAAGTTTATTCAAAACAAAGCTGAACCCTTCAGGAAACATCAGTTTAGCATATGCTTTATTTCTTAGATTTGTGCCATCTTAAGAAACTTCTAAGCATGCTTTTATTTTGATTATTTTATTTTTCTAGAGCTCATACTTGGAATCTTTAAATTAGGAAAGAGAATGAGATACTAATTTCTAAACAAGGTTGGAAAATAAGTAAAATTTCGAAAGCAAAAAGTCCAACTTATTGTTTTCAAACTTCACCCCCCTCCCAGATACTTAAATCTTCTATTCTTCATTTTAGTTCTAGGAACCAGATTCTCCATGCAACACAGCTTCAGTTCTAGTTTAATATGTTTGAATTGGTCTGCTGATTTTAAACAGGATAACACCACATTTTTGTTCTAGTTCCTTACATCATTTATGTTTCAAGTAGCATTTTAAATTTCCCATCTCATTAATGCTGTAAATTTAATGCAAATGAAGTGTTTACCCAAACTGTGAAAATATACAGCCGAGATTAATGATGATTTACAAACAAATTAGCTGCAGTCAGTAGCAAGGCCACGCACATACGGATACGCTGCATTGCTAGTAACAGAATAAATTCAGAACCTTTAGAACTTTAACATATTTTAAGATGTGTGTTTGTGTTGCTCCTAGATCTTACCCGTAAAGAACTTTGAAATCCACAGCATGTAAAATGTTTCAAGGAAAAAATCTGAATGTGGCAGTAAGAAAAAGATGGTTAAATAGTCCTTGTTTTTTATTGTACTGTATTTTTTTGTCAGGCTTGGGCTCCTGTCAACACTTGGTACATGTGCCTGTTTCATTTTCAGTAAAACCTACCTGTTCTCTGTTTGCTGAAATATAGCTGAAGTGTGCTTCATCTGGAACTCCCTATCCCTACTCACTCCCAGGGCAAAGTGGCAGTATGTCCATTTTAAAGGTCACCACATGCAGAGTTCAGAGAAAATCATAAAGATGATCGTTTATTCAAGATAGCTGATGCTTTGCTAACTTTTTTTTTTTAAACCAGTGAGATCTAACTGGAAACATCTGCACACTTTTATGAAAATACCAAACGACAATTAGTGGTTTAGCCAACCATTCAATTTACAGTAAATTTTCTGGGGTATTGTTTTTTTTTTTAAGCTCTCAAAGATTGGTGTATTATGAAATGTGTCATAATTGCTATGAAGTGGTTCTTTTAAAAAGATATACAGTTTACATTTATTTTATTTTAAAACCAAAATTATCTCTTTTTAAACACAGTGCACGTAATTCCTGGATTTCTTTTCAAGTGAAGCTTTACATATTATCCTTTGAAAAGTCATTGACATCCATTTAATGTGGGGATGTACAATAAGTTTTTTATTTTCACTAAATGTTTTTAGACACACTTTTTCTGCAAATTTGCTATTGCTTAAGCCCACTCCAACTTCTTCCAAGTCAATTGAAAGAGTTACAGTCTTCCTGTAACATGCCAGAAAGTAGTGGCAGCACACTTAATTATCTCTTGGCTGAATTTATGACATGTAAATAGTGTATTATTTCATGCATCTTCTATATATTTTGGCTTTGTCTAGACGGAAATAAATCTGGAGATTTCTGCAGTGTCACAGGATCATAAAAGTGAGAGGGATCTCAAGGGTCATCACAGTCTTTGGTGTTTACATGCACTGTGTCTTATACTCCCTTTCATGGTAAAACATGTGGCTGGATGGCTTATGGGGAAGGAGAAAATAAAGTAGGTCTCACATAAACTCCATAAGCAGAAAAATTCTTCAATGCCACTGCGTGAAACTGATGTTCTCCCTTCTAAATTATATTGCTTCATATTAATTCAAAAGCATCAGTTGGTGAGCAGTGAGCACAAAAATTGTGTTGTAGTTTCATCTTTGCTGTGAATTCACTATTGTTTTCTAACTTATGCAATGGATATATGTGTATGCTTGCCTGAATGTGTTCAAGGGGGATGCATGTGTGGTTGCTTACCTGTATAATTATGCAGAAAATTAGGGGATAGTATGTACTGCTGAAACCATTTGAAAGAATAGAATGCTTTATCAACAAAGCATTTTCAGATGGATAGATAAATATATAAGTGCATATATATAAATTTCTAATGAATTAGTTACTTTCACTCAATTAAATCCTAAAGGCATCTCTACAGTAACAGTGCTATATACTTTTATTACTCTGAAAGTGAGGTAGAGCACTGAGATTGTTTAAACAACAGAGCAAAGGTTATCCTCTGGTAAGGCAGAAATGAGATTGATTTACTATGTCCTTTCATTACTCTACAACGATTTAAAAGAGACCACTCTTCTTGTGGCTGATTTTAAATGCATTTGGTTTAAAGCAGTCCATGATGAATGAAAAGAAAAATCAAGGGGTAAATGAAATAAAGGCAATCAATCATTTTGTATTAGGGGAGAGAAATTCTAAATTAGAAAGCCACTGGTTTTAGTTCAGGAGAGGTCTTTTAAACATTCACCATATACTGTAACACACATTGACCCCTCAAGAATGAATATTGTCACTGGTACATTTTTTACTTCATTGGAGGAGTCTTTGTGAAGATTTATTCTCACTGATTATGAGAAATATTGGCATGTACCACTGAGCACTTTTTGTTGTTGTAAATAAGAACCATTATGAAGCCTGTTTAAATTACAGTAACTGCAACAAATTTAGAAGTTATACTTGTATTTTGCAACATGCATTTACCTGGAGTTTTTTCACAAAGTGATAGTTTGCTAGAATTTCCAGTAAGTAATTTATAGCACAACTTGTCTGGAATACTCACATTTAGATGGGAAGCACTGAATACAACTTAGAAAGACAGCGAGTGGTAGCACCAGTAGGAGCGGTTTATTTGCTTTTACCAATCTTGATACTGTAAAAAGCATGACGCATTACTTAGTTTGCTACGTTGATGGGAAGACAGGGTTCTAATGAAGAATTATAACTACGTAGTCCACTTTCTGCTGCAATTGCTTGTGGTTCTTCCTGTTACCTGCCTTGAAATGCTGAGTATTTCCATACTGTGACATGAACAGTTATAAAGCATATCTACTGCTTCAGTGGCATCTAGAGAGACACATGTATCTTACAATTTTGTTGTAAAAAAGTCATGTCAGCCTCAACCTAACTGTCTATTACAAATTGTTAATGACCACTTGGTTTTCTTTTCTTAATTCGGCATCAGCTTTCAAGAGTTGTAAAGTGTTGATAATGTAGCTGCCAGGGAGAGCACCATAGGATGGGGCGAGGAAGTGATAAGAGGTAATACTTGAGTGAAGTTTTTTTTCTTAATTTTGCTATTGGTAGTTGGTTGGATTATTTCATTAAGTCAAGTCTAATACTTGGTGCTCATCACCTATGCAGAGAAGCATCTTAAGTGAATTGTGCATGAAAGAAAGGTTGGATAATATTCATAATAATATGAGAGCAACTTTTTCCCCTGATTTGCATCTGTTGAATATTTGTGGTTTATAAGCCTGGAGTAGAGGAAAAAGACCCAACAAATGAGGAAAAAACAAAACTCAGTAAAATTCAGTCTTCCACAAATGGACACAGTCTCTTGACAGATTCTAGTTGTGTCTCCATTGATTTGGCTAAATAATTTTAATGGAGAGATCATTAGTTCAGTAATAATGTCTTAACTATAAGAATTCTCATAGTTGTGAGATGACATTTTTGTAGCCTCCTTGTGTTACAGTTCTCAGCTTCACGAATGTATTATGTTCTTGAAATGATAGACACTTAGAGACAGGTTAATATTGTTTCTGGCTAAAATAGAATGTTTCCAGAAATATTAGTCATACACTTCACCTGTGTAAACAACATAAGAAGGTAGGTGGATGGATGGATGGATGGATGGATGGATGGATGGATGGATGGATGGATTGACAGATAGACATTTGTATTAATTGCAAATGCACATTAATGGTTTCACAAATAATATGGTTTCTGTTGTGATGAGTGAAATAACTGACAGGTTTTCTTTCTTGGCCATGTATTTAATTTAAATGCACCTTGAAGAGTAGTATGAGTGATTCTGTTTCTAATTAGAAAATATAAATAAATGGGATAGCTATTGAGGTCTGTGAAGACAGTGACTTCTAGAACTTTCCTGTCTGTTACAGTAAACTGTATTGACTAATGCTGACAAAATTACTGAGGAGCCAGCAGACTCTTACTGTCTTTGAACTAATTAATCCAGTGGCACAATTTTTTGCTAAAGCTGAGGCTTGCGTGGTGTGTGATATGCAGGATTTTCACACAGCTTTGACATTTATGAGTGAGATTTTTGCCATTTGCGTAGTAATAAACACTTCAAGTCTCTAAAATGCAAAATGAGAAAGTTGTAGATAGCTTTTTACTTCCTACTCACCAGACTGCTCTGCCTGTTCGATAGGAAGTTGGTCCTACCAGATGCATCCTTTAGTTACTGCATCACGCAGTTGAAAATACAGTTTGCTTCATGCTGTTCATCACGGAAACTGTAAACTTAAATGTCCACTGCACTCAGAGTATCTGTTTGCAAAATATTTCGGGTGGATGTTGCTTTTGCTTTCAGCAGAAAGCTGAAAGAACACAAGTAGACTCTTAAACAGAACTTCTCAGTAAAGCCAGGAAACAGGTTATCAACACTTAGGCTGTTCTTATTGTGTCCCTTATCATCACTGACAGTTTGACGTAAAAGTGGGTCACATGACCACCAGGGAGGTATGTAAATGGATAAGAGGTCACCGTGCACATATGCTTGCTGGAAAGGAAACACATTTAAAGGAAGTTTCAGTCAAAACAATGACAATATGCAAATGTTAAGTTTTATGGGCTTTTCTCAAGTAACAGAAGCTATAGCACAGTCTCCCATATTGCTCTTTCCAAAATGAGTATCTACTTTCACTAGCGATCACAGAAGCTTGTAATGAAGGCTAGACAGCCACTCTTTAAACAGCAGAATACCAAGCCTGCTTAAATATTAACCCCTAAGAGTTATTCAGATTACGATTAAAGATTGAGATGTTGACTATGGGTTTTTAATGCATGTAGGATTTGCATCCTTAAAACTCTGCAGGATGGTTGTGCTTGGAAGGTGCCCAGTTTAAACTGCTAATGCAGCTATAGGGCAGTCTAGCTCTTGGGTAGAACTTCACATCAAGATGTCTCACAGCAGTGGAAAGTGCAAACTAAAACCACTTTCCTGGCCCTTTCCAGAGGACAGAACAGGAGCAGGGTGCTGGGTGACTTTCAAGGAGGAGTAAGAGTTAGGAGAAGCACTTGGTCTACTGCTTTTCTTCTGCCTGGGCCTGTGGCCACTTCTCGTGAGGCAGCCTGGGTGGGAGAGGGAGTCGGATTGCCTCACTGGAGAAGCACTTGCCATGGGCCTTGTGCTCTCTGCTACTTCGTAAGTGTAGCAGTGAGGACATATGACAAGGACGAAAGACCATTGCAGCATGATGCATCAGGAAATGGCTGGGCTGCCTGCAAGCTTTCCCTGTCTGCTGCAGGTCCAGGCATCCTTCTCCACTTTAGAATACGAATCCATGTTCTTCTTCTGTGTGGTTAGGTGAGAAATAAATAAAAAATCACTGTTAACGTTTCCTGGATGGAAGGTGTTACTGAACTGGGGTTCATGTGGCTTGCCTTGCTGAAATGACAAAGCCATGGGACAGAAGAGCAACCATGTCGCACGCCAAATCCAGTGTTTTATTTTGCATTTATAGGATAGTTTTGAGAAGGTTAGTAATGCTTTTCAGCATTTATTAAATGTCTCATGAGGACTATTTCTAAAGTTCCTCTCCTGAGGAATTTAAGTTTTCTCAAGTAGCCTTCAAGTAGTTTCCTGCCTCTCCCTTTCACATGTCTTGCAGAGAAACTTCTGTGGGTGGCTTGCTGTGGGTGAGAGTGAATAAGCCTTCTTGTCTCCAGTGAACACTGTGGCATCATTTTAGAGGTCACTTAAGTTATTCTGGGGACTGTCACCAGCCACAGAGCTTTCAGCGTGACTCCAGACAGCACACAGCACTCAAAATACTGTACTAAAATGTCCTACATCCTTCCAAGGCTCGGTACTCACATCAGGTCTGTGCCCTTAGGCTTTCACTGCTGAGCTGTCTGGACATCCTCCAAGGGCAGCGTTCCTGCTGCTGCTGTGAGCAGACGTCTTCCTCCATCAAATGGAGCCAGGGCTTGTAGACCTCTTTTAAGCTTCTCCAGCCTTTTTACCAAGAAAGCACTCAACACGTGAGGGATGCAGATGCAGACTTTGAAAGTGATATTTCTACACATTTTCAAAAGTATATTTCTAAATCTTAGACACCCTGATCTCTAAGCAGGAGTGATTTGGGACAGGAAATTTTATGTGAGGAAGGAAAAAAAAAAAAGACATTTTCCTGGCAGGTTAGGTTTTAAAGACAATATGGCAGCTATGTGAGCCTGCTGAGGAGTGTGGAGCAAAAGTTTTTAACATTGATAAGCTGTTTTTCAGCACTGCTGATACAGCTTTAGGCTTATCATAGGACCTATTGTCATATAGACCTGCAGCTCATCAAGGTGTTGTCAGTACTGTAAGCGTGACACAGTTGGTGCAGTGAATACCACTATGATTTACACTACCTGTAAGTCTGGTATAGCGTGAATCTCCATATACATGTGCATGTATGTGTCTACAGCATATATCTAAAATGAACAATTGTATTAATACCTTTACAGTATTTAGATATGTATGAATTGAGGCATGTATGACTGCATATAATATGAAGTATGACATTACTAATATTTATGAAATAGGTTTGAAAAGCTCTTTCTGGAGCTTTCTTAATGATAAATTTAACAGATTAACTGTACCTGTGTAAAGTTTTCATACAGACTGTGGGAAGAACATAATGATTAGTGCAGAATCTGATTTATTAAAATATCTCATCCCTTACATTTTTTCCCAAATCGCAAATGCCATCAGCTTCTATAGCTAAGTGCTATTTGGTAACAATAACTTTGTGATTTTAGTATTTTTTACAGTTCTAGTCAGCCAAAGGTCTTTTATTTGTAGATTTTATATTTTCTGAAGGAAGAAAAGAGGATGGTTTAACATTTCAGACTTACATTTCAGCTGGAAGTTTTTATAGCTAAATTATAAAGCTTTAAAATATGCATCTGTGGTGAAGATGAGGATGTTTTTAAGCATTATAGCAGAAATATATCTACTGTACATCTACTGTAACTGAGTTGACATATTTTACTATGTCTTCAATATTAAAATCAGGTTTACAATGTTGGTTTTTATAATGACTAAACCAAATATTGACTTACCCCTTTCTTTAAACATATTTAATGTATTATTCACAATTACCTCTAGCAAACTTTTTGACTGCATGTTTCCTTTTCTGGTTAATTTCAGTTGGTTTAGTCATGCTTTTAATGGCCTTTAGAAGGTCCCTTGGAGTTCTTTAGATAACAAACAAGAAACAATCCCTATGAAAACACTAGAGACTAATATTTCCAGTTCTCAGACCTTAACAGCAGGAAGCTTATGAGTCTAACAGCCAGACAGGGTCAGGTTTGCAATATTGTCTTGTCCTCAACATTTGTATTTTTCAGGAAAAGACCGCCGTTACTTGTGCTTCTGTGAAAATAGTTTATTGTAGTTTGTTTGCTCTAGCCTCCACTATCTAAAAACTTTGAATATGGATAGTGAAGATTAAAATGCATCAAATGCAATTAAACTCAGCAACAACATTATCTTCAATTCAGAGTGCTGTATCATATAAAATGATACAGCAGTTTATATACAGCATGGCTATAGAGAGGTTAAATATATGTTTTCTTTGAAAGCCAGATAAGTTAACTTCCTTAAACTTAAAAATAAGTGGGATATCTTTTCAATAAATCTGCTAACACTATAAGGCAGCTGTTAAATAAACAGGGCTACAGAGGGTTGCTTGAACAATCTGTGAAAGTGGAACTGATGATATGAGGTTCTGGGAAGAATTTGTTGCACAGAATATTTAGTACATTCCTCATTATATTAAATTCAATAACATATTTTAAATGCTATTATTCTACGTCTTAAGCAAGAATACATTATTTTATCACCTCTTGCTAAGTACTGCCACTTTCAATAACACTAGATTAATAAACTTCAATTAAAAAATACCTTTACTTTTTAAAATAGCAAGATAAGGACATATAGTTTGTTTAATTTGGGCAAAATTTCTATAAATTGCATGTCTTCTATGTTTCATGAAATGCATGCTCCAAGATATTGATTATATTTGACCTTTACTTAATACACATTATATAGAGCATTGCTTAGAGAAAACAGCATTTTTATTTCCTTCCTTAAAGTATCTTGCTATTGAATATTAACATTTCCTTTTATTCCAGCTCAGTTTGTAATCTAATAATGGCTAATTGTTATGTGCTAAACACTAGTTACTCTTTTATGCTTTATTAATAGAGAAGCATATTAAAATAGCATTATCTTAAGCAAAGCTATAGGCATTTGTTTCTCAGAATAAGATATTTTTGTTTGTTTGTTTGTTTTATTTTTTTAAATTACTTCTTGGGAAAGTAAGGCTTTTGCCATGTACAATACTAGTATGCATGTATTCATTTAAATACTAAAAACTGTAGTACTGCTCAATCCATATCTGACTGCTAGGTTTCAATTGACAGCTGAGAATTTGTGACTGGACCATGAATCAAAACGGCAGGCATTTATACCCCAGTGCCAGTGAGGATACATTGGGAATTACTTGGCAAAGGTAACATTTTAATTATTTCCACTCCTACACCACCTCTAAAAAAGTTGCATTGAGCTACATTATCTGTTTTAGTGGGCCTCCAGTTGAATCTGTGACTGCATTTGAAAAAACCACACTTGTAACATTTCTCCCATGCACAATTAGGTTATCTTTAGTGTAAGCTGAATTTAGAAAGTACCTTAATTAAGCACCTGGAATGATAATGCTATGCTGTCATATACAAGGGGTTTGCACATTTAAGGGAGTGCCGAGGTTAGGTTTTAAGAATGAAGGTGTTTTTTTCAGAATTAAAGGTCATATTTTGGGGAACTTAGTGCTTAACGCAAAGAAAATGGTGCTATGAGAGGTACAGATGAGTATAATAATAAATGTCTGAGGTGGTGGTGATTTTGGACAACGAATAACCATAAGTATTCCTTACAACTTTTCTGACTAATGGTCTGGTGTACCTTTAGTTCACTAACATGTACATGCAGGTAAGATATAAACCATCCTGTTTCTCAACTAAATAATAAAATAATTAGGAATGATTTGCAGAAGAGAGAGTTTGGTTTTGTTTGGAAAAAAAGCAAACACCATTAAACCCCATTAACCTTTAGTACATTAATAATTTACTCATTATTATCTTTTACATCTCTTAGTTTATAATGGATTATGATAACAGTAGGTGTGCCTCTAAATAGATGTGTAAACAAATCAGCATAATTGTGATACATCAGTTTTTCACCTCTTTCATGTGCAGAATTATCTGCAACACTTAACATTAATGAGAGTTGTACATGTAAAGCCTGTGGGTTGGAAGTCTTTTAGATGAAGTATTAGCTACTCACTCTTGAAATAATTTTAAATACTTGGGCATTTGTGCACATGTGAAAGTATACATAATTCTGCATAGTTTGTGTAAGTATGTGTGTGAGTATGAGTGTATATGTGTATTATGTACCAAATGCATTTTCATGTACTGTACTAGATTGGTAGAATGGGTTTTTGGGTATCCATAATTTTGAGTAAGTACAGAATTTGAAAAGTGGTGCTGCTTACAGATCTGAAGACTTAATGTCTTGAATATTTTGCTTTACATTTTGTTTTTGCAATTTTTTCTGAATTAACATTTGAAATCTAGAAGAATTGTGGCAGATAAGCAAGGTGGTGTAATTTCTTCCCTTATAGATTAAATGGCACAATGGAAAATTAGCTAATGGATTCACCTCATCTCCTCAAGGGCTCTGATTCACATTATAAATCCCCATCATGCAGTAATTGCCACAGTTTTCAGTGTACTGCCAAGAGTGAATCCAAATTGAGCTAGTATAGCACGGAGCAGTCATTTATTCTCCCACTACAAGGGCTGTTGCTTTTTCAGAGCATTGACAGGCGTTAGGAGATCATATCACAACTGCCAGTCTAGGAATATCTTTGAATGGTTTTAATCAGTAATTTCTCAAGCCGCCTTGAAAGCAATGCCTGTTTATACCAGCTGAAGCACTGTCCCAGCATTTGCTGAACTCTATTTCTCATTACCCACCACACAAGACCCTTGGGCATAAATTACAAAAAGAAAGGAAAGGGTGGAAGAAAGACTTCTAGGTGATGGCCAAGGCAACTTTGGTGAGGAATACAAGCACACTCTGCGATCCACTCACCTTTATAGACGAAACTGCTTTGCAGATCACTCCCGGAGTACTGCCTGCCACTTTGACCCTACTAACATACAGAAGTGCTGCCAGGTGAGCTTGGGCACAAATTCTGCCTGGGGCATCTGTTTTACATCAGGCTTTTGCAGTTATTTTAAGTACACTGATTTTTCAGAAATATCACTGACATCAGAAAGGTAAAGAAGTTGGCAGTGCCTCAGTGTAACCAGTATGTCTCTACAGAAATCAGGTAGCAGAGATGGCCAAGACGAAAGCTTTGTCATGAAGCATTGTTGGTGAACCGCAGCTTGGAAACTTGGGGAGGCTGAATGATGATAAAACCTCTGTTATTTCTGTGTTCTTTGCCTTATTATTAGCTGTCAGTCATACCCGACAGTAGATGCATAGATTTCAAAATATGATACATAGATTTCAAAATATACGTTCAGGGATTTTCTTTCCATATAAAGTTATGTATTAGTTGGAATTTAAACTCCCAGGTATAAGAGTTTTGCAAAAACAAACAAACAAGATAGAGACTATCAATAATACAAGATAAAAAATAACCCAAGCCACAAAACTTTAGTTCACTGATGCACCATTTTCTTCAAAACGAGAAAACTTGCAATTGGTGAAAGCAAGATTAATACTTTGCTATGCTGAACTAAAAATTCTAGTATCTTTAAAAGAAATGCTTAGATAAAATGTCCTCTGAGCATCCTAAAGAAAAGGGAAAAAACCCCAACCAGTTATTTGGTAAGTTATTTGAAAGTAGTGGTTTTTACTTTGCTTCTGATACCCTAGCCATCTAAATAGTAAATTTTTTTTGCTGCTTACTTACAGCATTAGTGGTATATATTTTATTAAGTCTGCTGAACTTTGAAAAACATTTAAGCACATTTGTTAAGTTCTTGAGTACTTTTAAGATCACTTAGGTCATTTTTTGCTGTACATATGAAGAAGATGATGCTCAAAATCCGCTAAAAAAAGAGCAAGCTATTTTTTTCATAACCATACTTCTGTGATAATTGCTTTTCTAGAGATGGAAGGTAAGGGGAAGCTGAGAAAATCTGTAAGGCTCAATTAGAAAAATACAGTCTCAGTTGCTAACGTGTGAGCAAAAACATATGCAACAAGTAGATCTAAGACATGAGTGAGAGTGAGAAGTGTGCATGTGTGTGTTTGTGCAAGTCTGATAGCATGAACTTGAGCTTGAATCTCAGCCACTCATTACGCCATTGATAGTAATTCCAGTGAGGCTACTCATAAAGGCCAGCATGACGGTCTCTTTGAGTGCATATTGAGTATTTGCAAGCATTTCACAAACTGTAGCCAAATTTTCATTGCCAAAATATGCATTTTAACTAAGCTACTGCCAAATATATTTTTGTTCCCAATTATTGCTATTTGTATTCATTTTTTTTAACAATCTTTCTGGTTACTTTAACGAGTTAGCTGCTACTTTAACATCACATTTATAGTACCCCTGCAAATGCACTAGGTTAGCATTTCCTGCTTTCAGTCTGTTGTCTTGACACATAAGCACAGTACAACAGCTGGTTTGTTCCTGGAGATGCTGAGAGGAGCTCTGTTCTCAGAGTGCTGAATTTCCTTGTAGCTCTAGCTGTAGGGGTATTCAGCTTTCCAAGCATGATTTTCACCCTGCAGCACCACTCTGGGTTTATGCTAATAATGCTGATAAGGCAATAAAATGGGTTAATCTCTGATTTGTGAAAGAAGTAGGAGAGGAATTGAGAATGTGTGCAGGTTGCTTTTTTAGCACAGTACCTTGTGTGTGTTTGGTATTGAACAAACTCGGAGTAACTGAGTCAGCAGCAATGCTGTGGCAAGTGCATTTTGGCAAACACTGACACCTGTTAGAGCAATGCTTCATACCGTCTGCACCCCCCCCCCCCCCCCCCCTCACCC